AGACTGGAAAAAATTTGTTGCAATTTTTTAATTATAATTTTGAATAGAAAAAACATTAGGAAGAAAAACAGATGAAAGAAAATGGGAAATATTAGAAGTTTCCAACTTTCAAAAATTGCAAAAAAAATTTTAAAGAAATAAGAGAGAAGTAAATTTAAAAAAAATTAAAATCTAAAATTAAAAAAGAAGGTAATAATAAATGGATAACATCAATTATCACAGATAACTGATAAAATCTTAACAAGTCATTGCATTTCGGTCAAAAATTTTGCTTGTTTTACAATAAGTACTTCACAAATTAAAGAATTTATAAAAATTTCCCAATTAATTATTTTTTATGCATACTGTTGATCATTATTATTGCTTATTTGTTATTATTAATAATAATTATTCTTGTCGACTGCTGTTGCACTCATTTAAAGAATTATTAAGAAGAAAACTGATATATTCAAGGACTGATGACAGTCATAAATTATGATTTTTTTTATACATACTGCTGATCATTATTATTGTTTATTTGAGAATTGATTATCATCAATTCTTAAATTAATGCTAATTCATTGACTCAATAGACTGACTTATCACTTTACATTCCTTATTAGTCCCAATTAAATGAATTATGTCATTGGACCATTTATTTAAAGTTTCTTTAAGCTTTCTTATGCGAGTTTATTTTACGATCCTTTTTTTCTCCTTCATTTTTATCATTAGCACTAAATCATGATAGTAATATATGGTTAATATTTATGGCAGATACGATTTCACGAATTCAACGTACCTGCAAATCATTAATTTCATACTTGCGAGTCTCCAATTCTTGTACAGCATTAACACGGCCATCTTCGGCAGTTCGATGGGCATTTACGAGATCATTCAACGCCGCCTGATATTCATCCGTCTTACGGAGAAATTGTTCACGTAAAAATTGAACCTCCCGTTGCAGTCTTTCCACTTCACCTCGAAGCACATTACGATCACCTTCGCTAACAATTAGCTGCAAAAAATACCTACGTAATCACCGTTTAACCATTTTGCAAATATTCAACTTTTACTTTTAAAAGGTATAAAATTTCAAGAATATTCAAAATAATTGAGACAATGATGCTAAACAGGTCAGTAATTTAAAAGATGAGAAGCTTCTTAAATTCATATAACAGAATAAATTCTAACACTTCTAAAAGCTTGATAAGCAAATAGATATATTACAACCTTATCAGTTGCATCACGAAGTTCTCCACGTGACTGATTAAGTCGTACTTCCAAGTTTTGAGTTGTTTGCATAAGATTTTCCACTTGCTTAACTTTTTCACGGTATAAATTCTCTAGGCGCTCATGCTGAAAGGTTGACACTAAAAAATTACGCACAAATAGAATAGATAAAAAATTGCGGATAAGTTGATTCAATTATTAAATGAAATAAATAAGACTAACAATACAGTGATGGATAAAGATTAAAAAATCAATGCTTCTTAATTGAAATTTACAAATTAATTGAGACAGAACTGAATATAAGTTAAAAAAGAGAGAAAGAATAATGAGGATTCTCAAGTTAATGATCCGAAATGAATATTCAAAATGATACGAATATTATCAAATTTATCAGTTTTACCTCAGGACGAAGTTTGTCAAGAGCATCAACATGTTTTTTAGCATATTCAGTTGTACGTTGAAGCTTCTGTTTCAAACGATCAATTTCAGCTTCATTTGATTCTTTGGCAGTCTGCAATGAAAGTTTCAAAAAATTAAAAGATTAAAAAAGGAAAAATCTTATTTAGTTTATTTTAGACTAATATTAAGTTAAAATTAAATGAATTAAATAGGAATTTTTTAGTAATTTTTAAAATGTCGAAATTTTCCTTTTTCTTTTCATTTCCTTCCATCTGTTAAACCTACAAAGTTCGGAATAAAATTTGGTAATACAATATTGTTTATAAATCAGTGATATTAAGTACCTTAAGCATATCATTTTCAGCAAGCAATGAATCCATGTCACTTTTCATTTTGTTAAGTTCTATTTGAAGTGATGCACACTGTTCTTCCGCTAAATGGAGCCGTTCACGGGCAGTATCCAATTCAGATTCCAAATTTGCTACAGTTCCTTTGGCATCGCTAACTTCACCTTCCAAACGATGAATTTCACTCGTCACTGCAACAGAGCTAATTTAAATCATTTTGATAGGTTGGATTATAATTTGAGTGTAACATTTAATGAAGGATGCTTTAACGCCTAATGCTTATTGAAGCCAAAAGTACAAATTAAAAAATAATGATCATTTTGGCCATATGTTATATGACCGGATATATGACTTTCTGCATTAAAGAAAAGTTATGATGACATGAAACTAATAATGATATTTAGTTTAACTGTCCATCAGTCAGCTATACCACAACCTACACTTTTGTTATCGATATCATGACAGCATATGCAAAACGAATTTTATTGATATTTTTGAACTTCTTAAATTTTTCAATATTAAAGATTGTTTCGATTTTTTTTGCAAAAAAGACTTACAATCGCGAATTTTATTCTGTTGATCGGTGATAATTTTATTCAATGAACTGATCTTATCTTCTGCAGAAGTAAGTTGCAATTTCATTTCGTTATTAGTTGAAGTAAGCAGTTTGATTTCTTTCCGTGCTGCTTGTAAATCGCTATTGTAACGATTAATTTCCTACGGATTAAACAAAATTTAAGATAAAGTAAACTTAATCATAGCAAATTTATTGAAATCTTAAATAAACATCCGTATATCTCATTAAAATTGAAACTTTGAGTCAGAATCAGAATCAGAAAAAAGCCATTCTATTATAATTACTTAAATTTCAATTATTTTCAAATTAAAAAAATACCTTCTCAGCGTCACGTCGTACAGATGATAATTCATCACGTAAATGATCCAATTCCAAATTTAATGCATCGTATTTTTCCTTCCAATCGTTATTGTCACGTTCCAGGATATTCCCACGATTTTGCAAATCAGCCATAACTCGCTCAGTATCATTTAATTTAGCACGCAACTGTTCCACCAAAACATTCATTGAATCAATCTTCTAAAATCCTTTCATTAATTTTTAACAATTATCAATTTTATTAATTGCCCTTTTAAAAAAAAAAAAAAAAAAAAAAAAAAAACACATGTAAACAAAGCTGAGATAACGAAAAAGTAACTGAAATTTTCATCGATTAAATGCAACGATAAATATTTGGCTAACTGAAGAATAAAAATAAAATAAACGATTTTCATTTTTAAATTAAGCAATTCGGTGGTTAATTTACACAGCTTTTATTTCCATATCCATGCTACATATCTCAATAATTGTCTGATTAAAGAAGAGATCAATTGATGTAACCCATGAATACTTCGATTGAAAGAAGCCAAACAAAAAAAATCATTTCAATTTTTAATCTTTCTCTATTTCCCTTTATTTTACTAGCAAAAAATTTCGCATTCTATACTTGTTTGTTTGAATTGTTTACTTATTTATTTAATTACAGATTAACAATTGTTTAAACAATTAACCTTTTGATGATTATCTCTTTCATTGTCCAATTCGATATGATATCTTTCTTGTGCCGCTGTCGCTTCTTTTCGAACTTTTTCAATTTCATTTTGTAATTTCTGCTTTAGTTCAGCGATCTCAGCATTCAGTCGATCAGTATCGTGATCTTTTGCATTAAGTTCATCTTGGAAAAGGATGATACGTTTTTCCAAATCATCCTGAAAATTATTCCTTAACTATAATGCAAATTCACCAAAAAACTTTGTAAAGCACAAATATTTTCACTTGCAAGCTTATCCAAGCTTTAAATTTCGTCAGATCTCAATTAAATAATCCAGAAACTAACTTTGTCAGTTTCAAGTTTCTCCAATTCGGTCTTGTATTTGTTAATTTCATAGATTTCCGTTTCATGCTTTACGATCATCTTTTCACTTCTGCTATCTGAAAGACCAACACTTTTGGTTTACATTCAAATTGAGCATATATCATTAAAAAATTATATATTAATTACCAGTGATAAATATAAATGATGATAATCAACACTGTTAGAATAATTAAAGTAAGCACAAATCAAGAATAGTAATTTCCCTAATGCTTACAATGTTAGTAATTATTCTATCATTTCTTTTTTAAATTTTATCAAATGACAGGAATATTGCAATAGGAATAGCTGGAAATATTATCTCAAAATTATTTGAAATACTTCATTTCTTATTACTTGATAATTAATTTCTAAAGAGTAATTTAAAACTGCTTTACCATGTGATTTTATTGTTTCACGATCATCTAAACCTGTTCTGATACTTTCGTCTAATTTCGCCTTGAAATTTGCATCCATTTTTGCCAAACGATCTACAAAAGAAAAAATTATTCATTGGTCGATCAAAATTGATTGGATAATGAGAAAATAATAGTCCAAATTGTTATGTTTATAAAATTATGCTCAAATTTAAAAACCACTCTTACATTTAGTCCTAATTAATATTTTTACTTCCTTTCTACCTTAACCATGAATAACATTGGCAGTGATAAATTGATACTTCGAAAACATCTCTCAAATAATTTTTTTAAATATATGTATGTATATGTATATATATATACCATATTTTTGATCATAGATTTGATAACAAACTTCTAATTTGTTGATATTATCATTATCACCAAGATTTCAGTGTTATTAAAATTCAGTTACATATCCAATATAATTAATGGTAGGTTTATTTACTACAAATTAAATGTTTCTAATCTTAACCCCACAATTTTTCTTGCATTATCATTTTCACCAAGATAAACTGATATGACGCTTATTCCTTCATGAATTCTTGAGGGCAATTAATAATTAATTCAAACAAACGTAGACGCAAAAAGATAAAATTTTTTCGACTGGTTCAACAAAAAGGAAAGGAAAAGGAAATTCAAATCACCATTTAAAATAACGATCTAAAGGAAAAGAAAATTCAAATCACCATTTAATGCAACGATCTCAGCACGAGCTTCTTCAAGTTCCTTTTTAAGAAGATGATTGCGATTCGTTTCTTGTTTCAGATCATCACGTGCTATACGTTCATGACTTTCCAATTCTTGATTATCTTTTCTAATACGTTCCGTTTCCTGCTCTAATTTGCGGATTCTTTCATTAAGTGAATTAAGCTCCGTGTCACTTTTTTGTTTCGCACTGTAACATTTCCACTTTTTATTATTACCTATAAGTTCTCTTTTTGCTTTTGTATGATAATACGTAAAAACAAATAGAAAGAAGATAGCTATAACACGTATGTGATGTATATAATAAATATGCCCTTATACTTCTAAAAATTTCAATAGCAAACCCGCTAAGATCATTCTTGTCCTGTTGTAAACGATTATTCATTTCCGTTAACTTTTCGACTTCTTTCTTTGCAGCAATTAACGAATTCTCCGTGCTGCTCAGTTTAGCCTGATTTGTTTTCAACTGCGTATCGAAATCATCATTTTGACGACGAATAACTGTCACCTCAGTCATATATTCATTGATTTGTTTCTTGAAATTATTGATTTCATCCAAATGACCTTAAAACGAAATTAATTCAAACTTTTTATTTCTAGATAAGAAAAATGATTTAAAATGATTAATTAAGGGAAACGCTAACAGTTCTATTCCATCCCCTAACCTATGTTCCGAAAATGAAATGATGTTTTGCTACTTTTGACTAATCCTCCATTCAGTACTAATTTGACATCAAATTTCTAGCCAAAGTAAATAATTTCATAGAAATTAGAAATGAATTAACAATTAAAAATGAATCACAAATTTCAAAAAGTTAAAAAAAATTAGCAGCTAATCGCTGCTGTTAGCATAGGTGATATTTATTAAATTTCTAAAAACAACACAACTAATCAAGTCTACTTTTGGATAATGATCATATCATTTCAAGTAAAAAAGTGATTTAAATAAGTGAGTAGTAATCATATGAATAATCAATGAAGGAATTTTTTTTTTTTGCAATATGAAGCCAAGCCAATCACTGATATGATGTTGTTCTGCACTATTAATTTTTTTAAATACGTGTTATTTTATGCTTATTAAATTGAATATTCCAACACAGACACTGAATTATCTAAGTTTTATCCATAATTATTTCTTTTGATATTTTTACTGAACTTCGATGATAATATGCTAGTGCCAGTACGATGCATAAGTACCCAATTATTAATATTACTGTTTACATTCTCTCATATCTTTTCTCCTTCCGTCGTAGTTTAAAATATATTCTATACTACTTTTTATTATAATCTGATAATAACTGTAACAATAAACTGATAATAATTGAAGAGTGGAAATAATCGAAAAAGATAATTAGTAACAAACGTTGATTAAGCTTTTCCGCATCACCACGCTCCTTTGCTTCAATATTCAGCTTATTTTCTAAATCACGAAGTGCATGTGTCAGCGCATCCTTTTCCTTACTATAAAAATTTTTATTGCACTTAGTAAGTAATAATATTCACTAGCTATAAACTCTGTTCAAGTTTAATTTATTATTAATTGATGATTCCGATATGTAAGACGACATATGATCAATTCAAATCATATTAGATCAAAATTCACTACTTTCCAACTGTTTTCCCGTTTTTTGTAATTTTTTCATGTCTACATTGGAAATCGCAATCTTAACAAAAAGATTTCATTAATTTTAAATTATTAACATCAATTATTCTTTCAAAATCCTGAATCTAAATTTTTAAACTCAACTTTAAATTTTTAAATTAAACATTTTTTCCTCTTTTTTATTAATCAAGCGACAATATACGACCAACTTACATAATATCATCACGTTGTTGTTTGATTTCTTTTACAGTCAGTTCAATAGCTACCGTATTCTTGTTGGCGCTATCGTAGTTTATCTGCAAATTGTCAAATTCACTGGTCATGGCATCGAATCGTGTACGTTGGTCCTCCAAGTCATTAGCCAAACGTTGACGCATAATCTCCAAATTTTTCAGTGCATTATCTGCAAAAAGCTTTATTGAAATCCCTCCAGAAGTTTCTTCGGCATTCTTGAAGCTACCATAGAGAACTGGACAGTAATAGTTCGACAATAAGTGAGAACAGAATAGATTGTTACGAGGTTTATTAGCTTAAAGAGGATGTTAATTCTGAAAAAATACTTCATGAGAATATGAAATTCGGAAAAATGTATGTCATGGATGTTAATCTCGACGTATCATCTGACACGAAACTTATCTACCTTTCTCTTCCAGTTTTCTGACGATATTATTGTAGTCCCTTTCAATCTCTTGAACTCGATTTTTCATCCGATCAGCTTCATCCTTTAGCCTCTTGTTATCTTCCAGAAGTGTTTCAATGCGATTCATAAGTTCACTTATGCTGCGAACAATTAATTTTAAACACCAAAAATTTATAAAATCGAAAAATTATTAACTCTGATTCGTTGTGTAACCAATTTTAACATACTAAAATCCTCTCTTTAAATCAAACTTGATCAATTTTCTAAAAAGCTACCGTATTTTAGTTTCATCTTCGATTTTACGAATGCGCTCCTCCGCATCTTCAGCGGCCCTTCGTTCCACATCTGACAGAGTGCTGCTGAACTGTCTGAAAATAATCAGTCAAAATCGTTTAACAATCAACGGTTTTCCGAAAAATGTTCCCGGAAGAAATACTGATTTATGTCTTTAAAAAGAGAAACATTACTTACTCTCGCATTTTCCGAATTTCATCTTCAAGGTGACGACGTCCACTCTCGATGGATGCTTTTTCCTGCTCAAGATTTTTCAAACGATCTTCCAAATTTTTCACTGTATGATTTGCGTCATCCAATTCTCTTTGTCTACATGTTAAAAATAAAATTATTGAAATTCCTCCCCTCCCCCCCAAAAAAAAAATAAAATAAAAAATGAAAGAATTCCTTGCATTATTGCCAAGTTTAATTTGAAAAAAATAAAAACAAAAAGGCAATTCATAATTTTGCAAAATTTTTTCCTTCTCAGTTTTATTCTTTTCTTTTTTACCGATTCATTAGTGTTCGATTTGCTTCGGCAATTTGCTTTTCCAAACCACGACGAATTTCTTCAATTGAATCACATTTGGTAGTAAGTTCACTAATCTAAATTTATCTTAGAAAAGTGATTGTCTTGAAATTATAGTTTTTTTAAAATTTAAATTATATTTTTTACATTCTTACTTTTGTAATTCTTCTGCAAACACTTTTTTTGGTAATCTTTTAGTTACAACTTCTTAAAAATTATCATTAAATCTTTTTTTGACAACAGAAATTCATACTTGAACTTCAGCATTTTTCAATTTACGTTGTAATACATTATTATCATTCATACGGCTGTTTAACACGTAACGAACGCTGCGAACAACTTCGGGTGGTGGAACATAACTCTTTACTGGAACAAAAAAAAGACCTCATACTTTCTCAAATATCATTCATTCTTTTGAATTTCCTTATGTTTTCTTATTTACTTCTATTATTCCTCATATTTTTTTATTTTGAATTAACATATTTCAAATTTAAAAAAAAAAAGAGAAGGAATACGGTTAACTTCACTTCTTTTAATGAAAGAACAAACTGAAAAAAATAGTATGACAGGAGAAAAAATTATTAATATTAAATTTAAATCCGAGAAAAAAATACATTAGAAAGAAAAATGGAAGAGGATAAAAGAAAAAATAGGAAAGATACAAAGAAGGAAAATAACAAATACTTCCCATTTATAATAAATTAATAGAAAGTTCTTCAAATAGATTTTAAAAGGAAAAAGAAACAGAAATTTACCAATAATTAGCAGACTGATAAAAGAACTGGTACGATAGAAAGTTGAAGAAAAAAGCGAATGAAATTTTGTAATCTGATAAATATGGAAGAAGATCTATTTAAAATAATAATGAACATACCTGGTGATGGTGTTCGTGTTTTCTTTTGAGCGTCAGTTTCATAATCATGCGTCATATCATATAATTTACGAAGAGCATTCTAAAAACAAACCACAATTAATGTACGTAAAGAAAATGGATATTTACATGTAGATAACGTAAAATCTAAAAAGAGAAAATATGGGACTTATCAAAAATTCTTTCTAATTTATATAAAGCCATTAATTATTAACAAGCAGTGAGCTCTTTTTTTCTTATATTAAAAAGAAATTTTAATGTTACATGTTTACATTTCTTATATAATGAAATATGATAAGATTAACATGTCATAGTTCCACGTATAATTAGATAGATATATGAATCATCCATAATTAATCAAGAATTTTGTTTTTGTTGTAGCAACTTTTTCATTGAATACTTGTTATGTCGTATTTTGATAAATTGTATATGGTCACGCTTTCACGTTTAATACTTACTTAGATTTGTCAATAATCACATCATGCACTGTTTTGACTAATTTCGTCACTGCTAATTAAGATGCAAGCTTAACGTGAAAAGATTTTTGGATATAAAAAGCAATAATTTGTGCACAAATTATTAATTATATGACGTGAATTATTCAATTAATATAACGTATCGGTTGATACGGTGTTCCTACTAATCGTATTGATTGAATAGATCGATAGAGCAAATATTTTTAGAAGCTCACAATGTGTATTTAAGAAAAGCTTATAATGCGCACTTATCAAACTAATTTTGGTTTAATTCAATTGTCAACCGAGACTAATAATTAATCAGATCAGTTTGAACTATGGATACATTTGCTATATTCGATTGCGTTCAGAAAATGTTTCATAATGACTTGAAGAACTCATTTGCTAATTATTTTACCACTTAAGAAGAAATTTCAAATATTTACATAATAGAATTTTTTGATAATTCTTTTATTATTATTTGAATAATCCCTTTATCAATAAACAAAAAATTCTGGTGCTCAAGTATTTGGGAACTATGCACAAGCATTTAGAAAAAATTCTACTAGTCCTTCATTATTGAAATGACTTGAATATTATTTATTAATTTCGATAACAACAAAAAAATTTTCCATTTTTCCTTTGTCGGAAATCCAAAGATATTATATTTTTTTTGAAAAGTAAAAGAACACTTTGACTTTTACGAAAAAGAAAAGAAAATAAAGACCTGGCTTTCAGCAAGACGATCACGTGTACGTTTCAGATCACTTTCTAGAGCAACCAATTTATTATGGCTTTCATCATCACGACTTTCTAGCTCGATGATGCGCTTCGCACTTTCCTCATATCTGTAATTATTAGTAGGAAACTAAATCTGGATTACTTATGAATTTACAAAGAGGCAAGATTGTTCGTGTTTTGGACTTTTTGTAAGCGGAATTCGTTTTAGCCCTGAAACCGGAAACGTTTTCAAGAATATTAAATCATTTATTTCAGCTAATACTGGTTAGCTTTCAATCGTTTAGATTCCCGGTTTCAAAATAATATAAACAAACTTTCTCATAAGTTCATCATGTAAACCGGCATCTTCGGAACGAGCCAAGCGAAGCTCAGTGATCAATTCTGGTCCAATTACCGGAACTGCTTGTTGTTGCGAGTCGTGGAAACGTTTAACAGCTTCGACCAGTACAGTATCCTGTGTGATATCCACTCCACTTTCGCTTGACAAATCCGACAGTAATGTATGTGTACCGCTCTGAATATTACAATAATTTGAATAATTTGAATATTACAATAAATTTCTTGAATTTTGCTTCTATCTTCTAATCATGTTTAAACATCCGGCTACAAGCCAAATATTTAAACTTGATCGGAAGCGAAATTAACTAGAACTGTATATGTTATCATATTTGCTGAAGAAATGCATGTGAGTTAACTCACCAAACTAACGCATATTGTTTTATTTACCGGCAGTTATTTGTTTTCATTTGATATTTGAATACGGAGACATTTTTCGCTTGAACGAAAAAAAATCACCTCAATATTTAGTCCTCGGACAAGACCGCTTACATGCCGAATTACTTTAATGAATTCGTTACGTTGATTTTCCAAATCACGTTCCGTTTGTTCTCTGTATTCTGAACATTGTCTACGTACGCGTTGTAACTCTGACCACAATTCCATCATTTTACGCTGCTCATCGCCCAAATATCGTGTAAGATTCTGGAATTTTTTCGTTTTTTTGAAAGTATATTAATTATTGTGAATGTTATTACCATTACCAGTCAATATTAATCATTATTACAATGAATACCTTCTTTTTTATAAAGGTTCTGTAACGACAATAATAATATTAAATACCCGTTCCCGAGTTTGATAAACTCTTTCCTTATCACGGATACTGATTTCAAATTGTTGGCGTAAACGCTGAATCTCGGCTTGTAATTGATCATTTTGAAGACGTTCCTGTTGCAATTGCATAGCCAAATCTTCCGCTCTGAAATGCAAATATTAAAGGAATTTGAGAAAACAAAGCTAAACCTTTGACCTTTCTGATCTGTAAAAGACCAATCAATCCTCTTTATTAAAATCCAACCTACTTTCCAATATTTATAACTAAATCTGTCTTTATCTATTTCTTTTTTCCTTGAAAATCCGTTTCAACTATAACATTTCAACTATAACAAACCTTCTACGTTCATCCTCTAATTGGTTTGCAAATTCCGCATCGCCAATTTCTTGCATTTTAAATTTTGGACTAAGTAACCATTCCTCTTTTAGCTTCATACTTGTCAAATCATCCGGATCATTCAGTTCACGCACCGTAATTCTTCCCTCGATTTCCGCAAAACGCTGCCGATATTGCTCAATCTGAAGGAGCTCTTTTACTTCAGAAAAAAGATAACTAAAAGGAAAAAACTTTATAAATTTTGAAGAAATTAAGCTTATCGAAAGTCATAAGAAAAGTTCCGAGTTTTGCAGAAATCAAATATTTCCTTAAAAGATTAAACACATTAAATAAAGAAAAATTAGATGAAAAAAAAATTTGAAGAAATGAACTTTACCATTACCCTACAGATGTGAATCCTATCATGGTAATGACAATACAAATGTAAATTTCATTATAATTTTATAAATGCGAATGTTATCGTGATTATAGGATCAGATAAAAGGTTAAGAATAATACGCACCTTGCGCTGCAGTGCAGCCATTATATCAGCGTGTTCACGTTGTTGTTCAGCGTTTGCATCTATACGTCTCTTGTAATTAATCAGTTCATCTTTGGAGTGGTCATAAAGAAGCTTCGAAATCCCCTCTCCTGTCATGCCGTATCCGAGGTCAACTTGATCCACTGAGTCGATATATTCGATATTATCACCTGTATTGCCACCACTTTCTGCTATCCTAAAATTTTCGACTAATATTGAATACGCTAACATTATTCATAATAAAATTAAATAAATCAGTTCAGATCAGATCTCATTAGGATCAAAGATATAATCAGATTCATGATTTCCACTGATTACAACATTAATGAATGATATAATGGATATGTTGAAGTGCGGTTCAGATAAAATAATTAATATCAAAAATGTTCCACATTTCTCTCTTCCTTTTTGACAAAGAAAAAATTTACGAGTTTTTCATTTTTTATTTTTAGAAAAACAAGAAATGAATTTTTTCCTCCCATTTAAATATTTCTTTTATTTTCTGTCCAAAGCATACAATATTAATTTGCATGCAAATCTAAAGGTGAATAAAATAAAACCATACTTCAGCAATTATTAATTTTCCTCTTTCCACTTTTTTCCTTTTCAAAACAATAATTCCAAAATTTATCTGTTCAAAAAGTCATAAATTGAACTATATTTCTAAAAATGACCATTGAGGAAGGTGAGAGAGGCAATATGATACAGAAATAGATTTTTCGTGAAAAACAAATAGAATGAATAAAGATTTTGCAAAATTAATTGGTTGTAATACAATTTCTATATTACTTTTATTAACACTTTTATTCTTTTCTTCCTAATACTATCAAAGGCTGTAATTATAGAAAGAAGTACAGAAAACATTAAAGACAACAGTAGCAGTAGCAACAGTAATGATTCTAGCAAATTTTACAAAAGAAAAATAAAAAACAAAAAAATAAATAAATAAGTAAATAAGTAAATAGACAAAAATGATATAAATTGATGAAATGATAAATTTAAAAATCCAATTATCATTAAAATTGAGAATCTAAAATCTCACCTTTGAAACATTAGAAACATCCTATTTAGCATCAAATGTTAAATGAATCTCATTATAATTCTAAATTGCATTAAAAAAGAACGTTCATTTTACACTTCGCATCATTTCAATACTTTTCGAATTTTTATTTACGCCAAAACTTTAAAATAAATAGATCGGAAAATTATTGGAATGTTTTTTTGCATTATGTGACATTTTCTTTTCTTTTTTTAATCCAACTAATACGGAAAAGAAAAATGAGTGAAAAATTTTGAAATGTAGTTTTTTTTTTTTGGGAAATAAACCAAAAAGAAAAATTTTGTCCGAATTAAAATACATGTACTTAATATGCAAACAAGTATCTTATCACTTTTTCCCTGTAATTTTTCATAATTTCATATCGTTTTGCTATCGCTTTTATTTCCTGCAAAATTTTCATTTTTTTCTATCCTTTTTTCATTTTTCTCGTTGATTTTGTTGTGAAAATAACTTACTCATATTTCACATCGCGAGAAATTGTTTTTTCAGCGCTACGCCGTCCCTTTGACGGAGTACCTTCCCTTGCTTGTTGCATTTTTTTTAGCAGTTCAGCTGAAACACCATTTTATATTCGAATTAATCAATTTAAATTAATCTTTTGTTTTATGTAAACGCTTTCGATTAAATACAACAGCATTTGCAGATATTAACCTAAGTATAGCACTGCTATTACTACTACACTACTATTACTAATAACAATAGTGACAATAAAAACAATACATAATAATATGAATAATAATGATCCCAGTAGTAAAATTTGTTTGATTTTTGTAGTTTCAATAAAATTTACAACTGAATAATACACCTTACCTAATACATAAAAAAAGATGAAGTTAAAAATTTAATACGAAATAAATTAAATAAATAAATTCTTTTATAAATTTGAAATATAAATTCCTCACAAACATAAAATTTTTCAAGTTTGAAATTTAAAACTTTTATCACAGAAGTATTTTAAATTTAATTTCGAGTATGAAAAGACAGAAACAAAAATAAAAATAAAACAGAAAAAAAGGGAAGAATTCAATCATATTATATCTACCAGTATGAAAGATAAATTACAAAGAATCGCAAGGTATGAATGAATCGACCGGATAGATAGGACTGTAAAATCACTGACTGGTAGCGCTTTTGAGAATTAGGAATAGATGATGTGTTATCGATGATAAATCAATATGCAAATTCCGAAAAAGAATACATACTATTACTGTAGCAAAAAGAAAGAGAGAAAAAGAACAGATAAAAAAAACTTTTTTAAATAAGATCATATATTTCTCATCATATATATGCAAATTATCGCCCACTTGTCAATTTTCATAAAATCCATAAATTATTCTATTGGAATAATATCGTAATTTACTTCTCAAATTTTAATTTCTTGAAAATTTTCAAATTATTAAAATCTACAATTCGTTTTATTAAAATGACATTATATTCTGTTTCCAAAACTTTAAAATTAGAAATGAGGGAGAAAAAGCGTGGAGGTAATGAAACGATCATATGAAGAGTGATACTAATATTTTCACTTTACACTATTTTATTCATAATGATATGAGCAAAAAGAAAAAGTGCAGAATTTAAAATTCCAAAATAATAACAATATATGAAAATGAAATTTTATTTTAAAAATTAGTTTTACAGACAAAAAAAGCGCATGTATAATACCATGCTTTCGTTGAAATGATAGACACATAGTAAGAAATACCAATTAAGAATAAGAGTATCAACTGAAATACCAATTACGAATAATGGCAAAGAGTATTAATTGAAAGATAACTAGTTGATAAGAGAGTAATTCATTCAATCCGAATATAGGATGAATAAATTATCCAAGATAAACTGGCAAAAATTGTCCTTTTTTTTGGCCAAGATTATCCTTCATATTTTGGGCAATTTATCTAACATTCTTTAACTTTTTACGAAAACTTTTTTGCTTCTTTTCATTTCCCAAAGGATATTTCTATGACCTTTTCATATTTCATCTAAATACTACTCTATTTACTTCCTTTTCCTAAAATTTAAGAGAAAAAAAAAGGAAAGAAATTAAATTTGTAAAACAACAAAAAACGAATAGTTATGCTGAAATAAATCTCCAAAAATCCCAAAAGAATAATGTAAATTCTGCTCAAATGCTTACGGAATTATTTGAAACGAGGCAAACAAATGCTGTTCATTTTCAAGATGGGAAATGGTTTAGATGAGGCGGGGAGGAACGGGAAAGGCGGGGTAAAACGGGAAAACAACTAGGTGGAGTGAAAGACGAAAAGAAGAGAAGGCGGAAAAAAAAATGAAACGAAACATAACGGATGATACAAAATTAAATGGGATAAGCGTTAAAACAAAAATTTTAACAGAAAAAAAAAAAAGAAAAAGAAAATTAAGAACGAATGGATTTTATTATTAGAAGTTGAAATAAGAAATATATTTTAAAAAAAAAACAAAAAAGATTCGGTTTGGAAAATTTTTGAAATTTCCAAATGTCTAAAAAAATTTTTATGATCGAAAAACATAAATTTAGATTTACATATGAAAACATAGAAACACATCTTCCAATAAAAAAAAAGCGAAAAAAATAAAAGAAAAAATCCTTTTTTTTTAAAATGTAAATGATATGCCATTTGATGAACAGACAGTGTTATTTAAGATTTTTCGAAAAAAACAAACGTGAACGCAAAAAAAAAGAAAAAACAAGGGAGATTTATTCCTAAAAGATTCCTTTAAATTAAATTTCCCGTGATAAAACATAATGTAATTGATAAGGATTAAAAGAAAAAGACTTTTTTCTTGCTCTTTTTTTCCTTTCAGAGAGCTAAAAATTTCGATCAGTATTTTATGGCGCAAAAAATTTTTGCGATATTTTTGATAAAGCAAAAATTTCTACCGGTATTTTGTGACAAAAGTGCAACTTTTGTTGATGTTTTATGGGACAAAAAAAATTTTATGATATTTTGATGAAACAGAGGGAAATTTTACTGATATGTCGGTGAAAATTTAATGATGGCATTCAGTCTTTCGTTCTTTTTCTTCCTCCCCTGAGAATTTTATGGTTTGAAAATATTAAAATTTTCACTTATCAGTTGATTATTTCAAAAGATTGAGCTAAAGAAATGCTGCAAATCACATGTTAACCGCATCCACAAAGTATTTATGGGTATTTTTAATCGGTTCGTAAAATGTAAAAAATTTCCGACCGCTCATACTAATAAATAAAATTTTTTTTCTCCTGAAAAAACGAGAAAGAATATGAAATTTCAAACTGTTACACCGGAAGCTGTAAAATTATAGCGATGGCATAAATAGCACTTTTCAATGCTATCTCTAGAAATAGTTTTAGAAAAGAGAAAATAAAAAGAAAAAAATCCATTCGTTTTCATTGAAATTGTGGCTTTTAAGTAAATTATTATTGAAAATGTAAAGAAAATGAATAAAGGGATCGAGGAACATAAGAAAAAAATTTCCATTTATTAACACAGAAAAAGAAATCGATAAATTAATAGAAATAAAAAGTTAGATTACCATTCATCTACAACGTTTCACTTTTCTACACTGCAACATTTATAATACAAACAATTGATACATCTTTGTAATCTAACTTTTTATTTTTTTATATTTTTAAAAACGGTTAATCTTTAAAAAAATAAAAAATAAAAACTAGCCAAATAAGATAAATAGCCTAATTTAAAATGATGTTTTAATTCGTTTCCCCTCTTTTCTTCTTTTGGCCGTTTTTTCCCCCTTCCTCTCCTTCAAACTTTCCAATTATCATATAATTTTTAGTTCATTAACGATCAGCCAAATCATTCGTACACACATTTTTGGTAATACTACCTATTCCAAATGATTGATATATATCCATAAATAAAGCCTAATTACATTTGTCTTTCTTTCTAAATTAACATTAAAGTAGCATTTAAATAGAAAGAAAAAAATGCATGTTGAATTTTTCACAGTTTCGAATTATTAATTTAAGAAACAGTGAAACAAAAAAGAAGAATAGAGCTTTGAAATTATTTCGTCAAATGCATAAAAAGTTAAAGAAAAACAATAGTTTTAAACAAATTTTAGTGCTGTGTAAATTAATTGGTCCACTAAACAATTATAATAATTATAGCTATTATAACAGACTATTTCAGTTAATTGAAATCGTTGTTATGTTCTTTTCGTGTTAACAAATTATTCATCTGAATATAGTTAAAAAACATTGGGAACTTAATTAACTTTTTTGTTAAATTGTTTAATTTCAAGCTATTGTCATCCAAAAATTATCAAAGAAAACAGGGAATTATCCTCTTCTGCTTTTTTTCCCACCATATAATTAAAATTACAGTTAAAAAATTTTCCAAATTTACTATTTCTTCCATTGGTGAACAAATGAGCAGTATGAAATTTATGTGCATGTTTTTCGTACTGATTGCATTTCAAAACCTGAAATTGAACAATTGAACAAATTCCGGATTTTGTTCACATTATCAAGCCAACCCTTTTTTTGCTCTTACTGCAACTCTTTCTCATTACCAATACATTGGAAATGAAACGGTGAAAAAAAAAAAAAAAAGAAAAAACCTGAAGCAAAAGTACATTTGAAGTAAGAATGATTATCAATTAAGACTTTTTAATACGGTTAATCAATCAACGAATCGGAATGCAAAACAGAGAAAAAAAAAAAAAAAG